AAAAATGCATGCCAAGGCTTAAAGCAGCAACAACGCTACACATAAAAACTGATGATGGTGGAAAAATGCACCGAAACGTATTTTGATTGATAAATAGAGACAATAAATGACTGAAACCCAGGAATGAATTTGATTTGGAATTGAAACACAGTCAGGAAAGTATATACAATTTGTCTATTTAAATATCTCAAATTATTATTATTATTAAATTAAACTAACTGTTAACCCTGTACTGTGTGAACGTTTAATCACTATTTTCTTGATTTTTCGTATTATTAGAAACATTTAGTAGATTGTTTATAGCGAACACTAAATGATGGTATTAGAATTGATTGCGTTCCTGCAAAAACTATTTTCGGTTTTGGCTTGCGTCATGTTGTTTCGACTGCGCGAATTTTTCGACCACTGACCAGTTTAAAAGTGATCTTCATGGCTTGTTTTTATTGCAACTTTTTGCTGATATTACTATATGTTGTTTTAATTATGTATCTAAATGAATGTCGACTCGTTTGCCAGCAGTCCTGGCTATTATGCGCTTCATTTAAAGCCAACTTGCCTGTTTTGAAGATAATGTTTTCCAGATAAACCAGTGTGCAAAAATTACTTAAATAATTGAGACACATTCGGCTCATTGGGTTGATTAGCCAAGTTATTTGAATCCCACTGTTAAGGATCACATTAGAGGCATTGAATGAATATTTGATGTCGACCACCAATCATCCTGCCAGAATTTTCGATCAAAATGACCGGTAATCGAGCTGAAAGCGCTTCAGAAGCATTCTCGTCGTTGCCAGCACTGGAATGGCCAACAATCACATCGAACTCCTGCGATACGCCATAGTTTTAGTGCTAATTACCGGGCTGGGGTTATCATTGTATGGTAGACATGGTACGATCTATCGCACCGAGGTACCCACAATCATTCTGATCGATTACGCCGTGCTCTTCCTGCTGGCCGCCTCCAACTTGGCCAGTGCACTAACACTGTGCAGAAAATCATCGGTGTCCAAATTCCAACTGTTCCATCAGCCCACCAAATTCGTCACTCGATCAGCCTACATGTTCTTTGCTTTCGGCCTGATGATTGCAAGTGGTGCCTGCTACTTATCGGTAGCTGGATGGGCGTTCTACAAGTATCACATCTATCGAGATGTCAATTTCCTGTTCTACTGCGCCTTCATCTACAATTTACATCGACTGGCAGGGAAATTGTCCAAAGAGTTCCTGGACCTGAACCAGACGCTGGAAACTGTATGCAACTTTCGGCGATTCGACGTCTTCGCGAACGCTTTGGAAGTGAGCAGACTGATGGCGAAAAGACGGGCCTTGAAAACTGTGCGAGAAGTTTCAAGGAGAATGAACAAGTTGTTGAGTTTCATTGAGACTCTAAACCGTACGTTTGCTCCCATGCTAATATTGGCTGTGATGCATTTGATTGTTGGCATGTTGCGAGCCGTAGTGATTATGGTACAGTATGGAATCAAACAGAATACACTCAATGGGAATAAGGTCACTTATTGGGTGGCTGTTATCTATCCCGGTTGGTTTTTAGCATACACGGTAAGACTAGTTGAGTCTGTATCTATGTGGAAATTTGGATATCTGATGAGCTTTTTGTCCTGAAAAATAATTTTTGCTTCACAGTGAATAAATATTAGGTAATCTTGAAGAGAACGAAAAACATCTGGAACCAATTTCTTCATTGTCACGAAATCCTGGTTTCTTACAACCTTTCAAACTCTGGCCCAAAAACGTATCAACTTGAAATTKTCACTTTCTGTASAACARATCAAAATTAATTCCTGGGTTTCAGTCATTTATTGTCTTTATTTATCAATTAAAATACGTTTCGGTGCATTTTCCACCATTTCCACCATTTTTTGGCACGCAAAATTTTGATTTGGAATTGAAACAGTCAGGGAAGTATATACAATTTCTGTAGAACACCCTTGAATGTACAAAATCAACAAACTAGATAATTTCAATAAAATCCTCGAATACTGATTTTTGAACGATTTTCAAATTCTGGTCCAAAAATCACTGTTTTCTTGCAATTTCCTGGTTTCTTTCAAAAAATCGTAACTTTCGATTCCGGACAAGCATCCACTTGAAACTTCCACAGTCTCCAGAAGACATCTTGATTTGAAAACCCTGCTAATCTAATTTATATGCCACCGATGTTCAGTTTTAACATCTTTTCCCAAGCCATCCCAAACTCTGGCCCAAAAACTATTATTTTCACGCACCTGCATGGTATTCTTTAAAAATTCGTAACTTCCTGTTCAGAAAAAGTATCAATTTGAAAATTTCTACCTTCATAGAGGACCTTTGAATCTCCCARCTCTGATAATTTCATTAAAATATCACCGAACTTAGATTTTTTTCATTTCAAACTTTGACCCAAAATTTACTGATTTCATGAATCTTTATACTTTCCGTTCAAAAATCATTACTTTCGATTCAGGGCAAGCATCAGCTTGAAACACCCACAATCTTTAGTAGACAGTTTAGTTTAAACTCCCTAATAATTTGATGAAAATGCGACTCAATCCTGAATTTTGACAACTTTTCCAACCCTGGCCCAAAACTCACTGTTTTCACCCAATTGTATGGCGCCCTATAAAAAGGCGAAAAAACTTCCGATTCAGAAAAAGAATCAACTATAAATGTTCACTTTCTGTAGGTCACTTTAGTGGTACAACAATCGCAAGTTAAAAGTGAATAAATATTAGAAAACCTAGAAAAAATCGCCAAAAGAGGCCAATCAGTTCTGAAGCACTGATTTATCTAATTCCCACTTGCCCAAAGCTTTGATTCCCAATTTTATGTTTCCTCACATCTCATGAATCATTGGTTGTTAAGCGTTCAAAACTACTCAATTATCTTATCAAATTTACCGGCTTCCAGGACAGATTTAAAGCGGTTCAATATCGAAGGACCTTTTGCAAGAGTTTTACGAGAATCTCGCAAAAGTATCAGAACATAAATTTGGTCTTCATCTTAATCTTGCAAACCTTATCTTGCTCTYGTTCYTTTTTACAACACCAAGACTAAGACTGACTGAGAGAGACTGAGATCTATGACTACTCCATAACTGTTTCATTTTTTGCAGTTCACCGTTTGGCTTTTGGCCTCTGCAGGACAAAAAATTGAAAACCAAATCTCCAGCACCAATAAAGTATGCTTCAACATTATAAATGCTTCATTAGATTGGAATGGTGAGGAGGATCAGCAAATCCATATGGAGCTTCTGGAGCTGCATGATTTAATCAAAAGCCGACACATTTCGGTCAATGCCGCTGGCTGTTTTGAGGTCAATTTCAACTTGATCGGACTGACCTATTCAGCGTTGATCACCCTGTCTATTTATGCTGTAGAATTTCTGCTCTATTACTAAAAATTTGTCTGGTTAATTGAGTTGGTGCAGGGTAAACTTATATGCGTAACCATTACGGTTTCTATGGAGGAATGTGATCAAATCGATATTTAAGCGTAATGGAACTTGGAGACTGGCAGGTGCTTTGTTGGCCACCTAATTTCCCAGATGTTACCCTCAGTGAGAATTATTGAACATACTCAAGTTCTGCACTGTGGAACCAACTATGTGGCGCCATTAATGCCTTCTTGCAATTTCCAATTTTCTGAATAGGAAGCTGATTTATGCAAACTACCTTTTAATGACCGGAATTTCATTGTCTCAAGTTCAGGTGTTCCTCTGAGAAGAGGCTTTCATCTACAAGGATCTGAAATTTAGGGTATTCCTAATGAGATGTGGTTTCCTTAAAACCGAACTTCAGAAGCATTTAGCATTAACATTTTTCTTCGAATACTATGCAATAATTACAGGATGTGCAATTGAAACAGCAAATGTGTTGAATTTGGAACCGATCGATGGTTCATGTCGGGTTTGCTTGGCACTTACGTTCTTTGTCCAATGGTCGGTTTCTTTAAGTATTTGTCTTGGGCCAGCACAGAGCTTTTCTACAGGAAGTTTTAAGACAAATTAGACAGCCCCAGGGGGTGATTTCGCCTTTGGAAAATTTAGTTGTTTTGTATGAAACATTAGACAAATGGTTTAAGCAAAGCAAAAACTGTTACTGTTGGTGAAAGCACATGTGGTTTGTTGTACGCTTACTTTTATTAACTGATGTTATCAACTGTAAAAGCCAATGTAAGTTTGGTTTATTTAGAAATTTATTCATTGGCGCTTTTTTAATAAATACAACTGTTCCCAGGTGAAAGAACATTAAATTAACTAAATTGTTGTTTTATTTCTAAACAGTATTTTTGTTTGTTAATTAACACCCGTGTATTATTATATTTTTAAATTCTGCTCCAAGTTCTGGAGTCGTACATGCATTTTTTACATTTTTTGAATAATATCTTCTGACTTTTTTCATATATGTAGATATATGAGATTTTATGTCAGAGATTACAGTTGCATGCACTACAATAATTAGTATTTTGTCTATACCGGATTATGTGTTATTTAATTTGATTAGCATTTGTTATTGAAGACGACTTACTTTAATAGAATTTTGATAAATTAATACAAATAAAAATTTGCATTATGCAGTTCTCATTAGAAGAAACTTTTATTACAAACTTCTTTTTGGGTATTTCGCCTCAAAAATTTTTGTCTTTAAAAAAGACAGAATTTCCTCACGTCTTTTATTACAGATTGATAAATAGTGCTCCTATTTCGTAATAAGAACGAATTATTTATCAAAAAGTAATCAAGAACTATCACCTAGAGGGTATCCTGGTATCCTATCCAAATTCTTTTATTGAAAAATGTTTTAACGAAATTGAATTCCCACGAACAAAACAAAATCAAAATAAACCTATTACGAACCTTTTCATTCC